TGAATTTATAATTCAGCAATATTGCAAATTTGATATAAATTCGGTATCTCTTTAACGCAACTTCGAAACCTCGATTGTTAGTGAAAATTTAAAAATTGATTTATAAAACCAGATAACTCTAACAGAAAATTAATTTTGAAATTTTTAGGGTTCCATATATCTTATTTCTCCTTTCAAAATCAGGTAAATTTTAGGTACAAAAACATATTAAAAACTGTAAAGAAAATACAGTTAATTTTTAAGGCAAATTACGAGAAGTGTTATGTCCTCAGTACTTCTGCATGTTCTTCTATAAAATTAAGTGTTCTGGAGCTGGTGACTTCCGATAATCATCCACTCAACTGGAGCAGTATTTGCCATTACTTAGGTGCTAAGGCAACAGCGTATCAAGAGAAAAACAGGCGTTACATCTGGATTACATATTATTTCAAGTAGGCGAGAAGACTACTCTCTTTTGTGGTGTAACGAATATTCTAGTAGATGTTTATCTTCGTTCCCAAGTGCCCTACTGTCTCCATCTTCAGGGTGTAATAAGCACTTCTTCCCCAGATTTCAGATAGTTTGTTAATCCATATATTCGATAACATTTTCAAGGCTATACGTCGTCAAATTCAAGAAGACGGTAATATTCATATTCAACGCAGTCAGAACCAAATATTTCAGTTACTTTTGCGATGGTGTATATTGCGTTGACACTGTAACGCGAAGGATATTCAGAAAGTCGGCTCCGTTTAAATTAAGAAAATAATGAAGGAGCGGGGGAAAGCTGGTTCATGCGATGTAGCCTCAGAAAACCGTTCATTTTCTGTTCGATTTTGTCTCTACATATTGGGTTATTATGTACCCTGCGAATTATAATTCGGCCAGATACGAAAATCGCACTGTTACCCGCTTCCTTTGTGATAATACAAGTGTGCTGCAAACATATATGTGAATAATACGCGGTTTACGGCGAAATGAGTGAAGGAACTGTAGATCAATGTTTTAGTATGTTCAAAGGTGAGCGAATATATGTTCACAAACAAAACAGAGAGACTATCTTCAGCCTTGAATTATTTAGAGAGATATACCACAAAATTAGAAATGAAATTCTCAATCTCTCCGTATGAATAACTGGCGTGGAAACTTGGGTTCCATTTGTGAATGGTGTAACCAAAGGGGAGTCAAAGCAGCGGATGCCCACAAATTCACCAAACATGCCGAAAATGTTTGAAGAAACCTTGTTTGAAAAGAAAACTGTTGACAACTCTTTTCTGAGACAGAAAATGTGTTTGGTTGGTGCAACCATAATAAATGTAGAAATGTATTGCGAAGTACTAAATCCCCGTGTTGGACCGTTAAAATAAAAGGCGAGGAATGCTGACACCCGGTGTAGTGCTCCTCCGTGAAAATGCACGTCAACATACGTGTACAGTTGCAGGCACTCGAGCAATGGGGGAGCATTTGTACTGGGAGTTGTCTGACCACCCGCCTCACATCCCTGATCTCGCTCTTAGTATCTACCTACCCCCACCACATCTACGCCCACAACATCATAACTCAATAAAAACGAAGACAGCACACACACACACACACACACATACCCAGCAGGCCCAGCAGTATAACACACGCAGTCACAGGAGCAAGACACAACACAAAGCACAGTGAGTATTAAAATTATAATAACACAAGTAATAAATAAAATACGGAACGCGGTATTAATGAATAAGAATTTCACGTTCCAGATGCACACACGAAAATAGGAAGAGTGCTCCGATAGAAGAGGATAGGTGTGACTCGCGTATTGAGACGAGACGTAGGGATAAAAATCCTGAACAGTTTTAATATTTTTAATATTTATCAATACATATGATGAACATATATTTTACTTATTTTAGTATGAGGACGGCAAGGCATGCAGTGAAGTAGTTTAACGTAAATTGAAAAGCACCTGAAGATGGCACCTTTATGCCGAAACATGTAGTGCAGGAGTGAAGTGTGAGGTGGATGAGTATATGCACTGTAAGACGGCTGGAATAAATCATGGACATAAATAACTGCAACAGGACGCTAAAATATAACATCTATAATCTGTTTGCTGGTCTGAAGATCTGGTTACGGTCACAGCGCCTCCATACATATGATGTGTTGATATAAGTTTAGAAATGTGGCTGAATTCACGGGCGGCACACTCATTTGACACAGGCATACAGAAATTTATTCACAGATACCATAATTTCCTCCATTCCATCTGTAACGACTTTGTTATATAATACATATTCATATTGCTTATTTTAGTAACATCTCATCGGATGTTCATTTCCGAACTGCTGTTGTACATATCCTTTAGAAACCACGGATTTTAAATACCTGCAGAATATATTTTATTGTTCGGAACCTAACTGCGTAAAATTAACAGAATGGGCAGCAAATTATTTCTCCTGAAATATCCCCGAATCATTCAACCATCACTACAACACAATATTGATGTTGATGGACACCACCTCGAGCAAGTACTATAATATAGTAGTGCATGTTGACCCGTTATTGAGTAAGGCCTTCTCAAACAAACTGGTTCCCACGGTAACGCACCACTTATGGAGATCTTGCAAATGGTGTTTTCGTTGCGGTCCTTTCTGAAAAAATATAAGGAGGAAAACTGGAGCTAGAGATCTGAGAGTCTGAGGTCCCCTGAGGCTCATGTTACATTGAATGAACGGAATATCCCCTTAGTTAATCAAGTAAATTGAATGTACTCTTCAATAAGAGGATTACGCCAATACTGCACATAGAAATTATAGAAGCCAAGACTTTCAGAACTTTTATTAGAAAGTACTCTCTATTCAGAAGTGAGCGTTTATGCGCTAAAATTAAACTAACCCTCCAAAAGGCATTTATCAAATCATTAATGACTTACGCTTGCCACGCTTGCGAATTAACAGCAGACATCCTCCTACTGAAGTTGTAGCGATTACAAAACGAATTTCTCAGCGCCATTCGAAATTTTCGAAACCCACACCAGTCCGCGACTTACACGTGACTTTTAATCTTCCTTATGTATACGATTATAAGAAAACAGTGAAGGCGACAAGCAGAAGTAATACAAAATCTTGAGAATAAATATGTTCATGGTAGAGGATAAGGCTTAAACTTTGCGCTGGTGAAGCTTACGATTGTTCAATCGTCTAAGTTGCTGTTGTATAGTAAGATTCGTAAGATAGGTATGATTTTCTTTGCAAATACTGTACTTACAGAGGACTCGCCTATAGCGCAAAAGGAAGAATTCAATAACAAGTGACACGTGCATTTGATAAAATGCCAAGCATACGAGTATTCATAAGAGATAATCGAACTAGTCGTTAGAGAGGATGTTACGTAAAGACTATTGTAGCAAGGGCTCGGTTGAAAAAAAAATTACGATCGTGATTCTCAATTGTTTTGACGCCATGACGAAATGATTGGCTGTAAACAGCAAGTCGTAATAAGATGTTAACGTCGACTTCGGAGGTCAGAGCTGTGGGATATATCCTGGACAGTAACGAAGCCAGCACAGATACCGAAGTCTCTCCATTATTGGAAGCCTTTGCCATGGACCGACTGGTGAAGACACAGTAGACTGAAAAGACTTAACGTCTGCTGTTGTCATTTTTAAAGTGTGTGATCAGCGATGGTGCTATTATTAAGTGTAGTGACGAGTCCTGTATAAATATGATCATCAAATCAAATCACCAATCCAAACACGGCCAGTAGTCAATCCCACTACTGAAGACACAGTTCTGCTCTTTTTATTTTTTATTTTGAATTACCTGGCGAAATAAGTGGTTTCGCGACTGGCTACGGGTTGGATGACGGAGAGGTCGGTGTTCGAGTCCTGGTAGTGTAAAGAATTTTTACTTCTCCGTGTCGTCTACAACGGATCTCTGGTCCTCCCAACTTAATATACAATGTGTACTTGGAGCTCTCGCCCCGGGAGTAAGGAGACCAGGACTTGAATCTGGCCACTCCAACAAATACCGAGTTCAAGAAAATATATATGTACATCCACACCCCCATATTTTTTCATGGCGTAGTGCTTATTTGGTTAAGCTCAGGGACAACTTTACCGTATCTTACATATAGAATAATATATCTGACATGACACGGACCGCATATGAACCACCTCGTCTAACAAATTTTAAAATCAACAAGAAACGTATTCAGAAGAGACGGCATAAGTAGGCTACGGCTTAGTAAACATGTAACGACGTCAACATACAAGCAGCAAAAAAGAAGTTATAACAGACACAGACACAAAGATAAAAAGTGGAATTCAAATGCCTCCTTCTATTTTGTAAATGAAGAATGTAAGTCAAAATATATCAAATTGTATATCTAAATAAAGTCTGAACATCATTATGAACAACATTGTCTGTACGGAGACGCGCCTATGATAATATCTTCAAGTTGCATTTAACGCAGTGCCAATTTTGATGGAAATACAATATTTCTGGAGATAAAGCAGGCTTTACCGTCTGTCAGTACAGCTTGCAGGAATTTGTAAACACGGCACACAGTTACATGGACTGGCCCATAGTTATCAAAACACAATATACTTGGAAGCAGGCATTCCTGTCTCACCGGTTACTAATGTAAATAAAGTAGAGCGGATGTATATTATCTATAGGAAATTACATAAATATAGAATGTTGATACCTTTCAATATGAGGAGCAATTGTTCACTTCAATCATTGATTCACGTATATGAAATAATGTAAACAAGGACCGAAGAATCTTAATTTTCAGTTGAGCGAATGAGAATTAAAAATTTAGGTCCTATTTCAATGCTACAAAATATTTCTCAATTACGAAACAGTCCGTTTAATAATGTTTAGGCAAATAATCGTAGCTTCTCCTGAGAATCATATAAAACCTATATTTTCTTTACCCAATACGCAGATTTCCTACAAAATTAATGTCGTAAAAAACTCATATATATTGATTGTTAAAAATAGTTAAATGTTTAAAGAATGGAAAGTACTCACAAAAATGGGCGAATATTCCTAGTCTAATGTGTCCACAAAGCAGCGCCTACTCAGATATTGGCGATGTTCATCTGATCCCTGAAGACTGTTCTGCACGTAGATCCCATGCATTTCAAAACGACCTTCAGCTCTTATTGCGCACAGATTTGCGCATTGTGCCCGAAGTTCCTAGCTTCTCTCCAATCCCCTGACAGGCATTCTGTGCTCGTTGCTGTAATACCTTGCAGTTACTGATCGTCACTGATCGATACTGAGTACACAGAACACTTCCTTTGTCCAGCAGACGAAATATAGAAAACTGAGCTCATAGAATCGTTGAAGACAATTGTCACGTACTTCGCGTGTTACCACTCTTCATGGAAAGTCTGGCTGTGTTGGTGTCTGACAGTGTAGATAAAATGAGGTGGTGCCCTATCAAGAATGAATGACATATCTGATCGTTGTGAAGAGGCACATGTTACAGGAGTAACCGGTAAGGCAGTCACAAAAAGACGGTGCATTGCACCTGCTAGTCTGCTAAGAAAGACAAGTGTTCTTAAGATTCCATCTTCTATGGTGCAAACCTAGACCCTGGAACCCATATCTGAGCAAACATTGAATCCTGGAAACATGTTGACGGGGCCCTATTTTATTCATTTAAATGGGTACTATACTCCTTACGGATTTTAACATCATCCTCTGTACCTTCGTGTATAATTCCATTCCCCACCACTCCCTACTTCCTGCTGCGTCCCATTCCTTCTATACCATAGCTTCATCGTTCTTGCCGCCCTCTTTCTCCACGTGAAGCGGTGGAGGCCCGCCTCCGTCGTCTGCGTCGCCGGCCTTGAGCTCAGTTACTTCCCATTGTTTTTGGGCGTCTTGGTAATGGGGAAGTGTAGGGATTTTGGTAAAGGTGAGTTCTTTCACCCAGGGTTAACGTGTCACACGAGGAGGGGTACCGTCGTTAAATGATGTGCAGACTATCCCTCGAACAACTTCCACTTTATTCCACCTTAAACTTTACTCTCAACAATATTGCACAAGGTTAAGACTTTAATATGGGCCCCTGGCCTAGTTAATTACTACGCGGGTGGGCTGGGCACCCTCGGACACTCCTGACTTCCTCAAAGACCAAGTAGAGAGCGAGTGAGTAAAATTACAATATGGATAACTAAACTTATGACTACTGGCCCCCACACCACTAATTCCAAGGGGGGGTCACCGCCCCACAAGTATCTCCGGATTGGTTCTTATTCCGGGGACTTTCGTGATTAAACAATAGGGCCTGGCTAATAACCACCGTATCATATAACATTCTTGCTAAGACATTCAAAACTAATGTCGGCAATTTCGCCTCGCGATAAAGCCCCGTGATGTTATTGATTTCGTCATCTCTTCTAGCTGGAGAGACTGCTTACATCCAGCTGCACACTTCCTGTGGCGTAATTCTTTATCCAAAGGGGCCCTATAGGGTTATCTACAATCAGCAATACAACGTTTAACTTTGATTGGGGTAGCTACAAGCTCCGTCCGGCTTCGAACTCGGCTCGGCCCCAACCTTTCACCCCTTCTAGCCCCGGACTCTGTTCGGCTACATCATCTTCTACTCCCTTGTCCTCCTTCATTGTCATGGCCTCCTGAGTCCGTTCCATTGCTCTCTCTGTCTCTCTAGCGTTGCAGTGAACACAGTTTTCTGCCTAATTCTTTTGTATTTAATTAGCTACATTGTGTGTTTCTGAGCAGCACAATCGACTGTGCCCTGATTTCGGTTTGTAAATTTACTGTAATTTCTCTTGGACTGTACCTGTATTATTATCGTTATTAATGGATCTTGCATAACTAAGCAATGGGGCGATAAACATCTCGCATAAGCGTACTTAACCGTAGGACTAATATTGATAGCTCGTTGCTAGGCAAAGTCAGCGTGCCAATAGACTGGCGAGGTAGAATTCACACGTGACATATTTCCTATGTGCATTGCCTCATGCAACAATAAGGCTGTATTCTTTGTGAATGGTCGATTCGGAGGTTATATAACATCAGTTTTCAATTTAAATGACATATTCAGAGTTCTGACTTTTGAGTTCTCGGTAGAAGATAGCTAAGAATTGTTCGTCGTGTGAAGTCATGGTGTGATTAAAAGAATTTATTCATGTGTAATATTTGGAGTACGTGATTCAGTGAGACTGTTATAGTTCCTGTGTTCTAGTTGTAGTACCAGGAGAGGACTATTGTGTGTTTGTGTATAACACTGAATTATAAAGTGTAGAAACCATGATAGCGCTGTGATCACGTGTAATTAATTGTGATGCATATAAGGAGTAAATAAACCCATTAATCAAACCCCGAACCCGCGTAATTAGTCACTGATACACATGACAATATTTTTATTAGGATTATTACATAAATTCGTCCATTCATTCGTCGTGTTTTATTCATTTGCCTTGCCTTCGAGTAAGATATGCCCATTTCGAACTACACCGACTTCAGTGGTAACCGCTTCCTCGTTGCCCCGTTGCGGGGTGCCGTGTCACCGCCAGGATGACCCTGAAAAATACTTAACCGGGCTAGATTCAATTTACCTATAGAAAGGAATGCGGGTCTTCGTATAAACTGTAGGTCACATTTTCTCGATTGTACCCGAGCTCTGAATTCGTGAGTAAGCATCAATATAATTTCCAAATTCCCAGTTTCATTGAAAATTGCACACGGGCTCTCGAGGACAGACGGACTGCTGATTGAAATTTAATAGGCTTTTACCATGTTTTGAAACACACATACAACAGGAATGTTCTGAATGGAATATCTTTGCAAGAGTTCAAGCACCTATTTTGCAAACTCAAATCGAAAAAATTCGTAAAACAATTGAAGCGGATTACTGCTTCTGAGGGTTATCACTTCGAACATCATAAGTACAATTATTTGAATAAAAGTAACAACAAATCGTGTAATGAGATCAAGGAAGAACAGAAGGCCGTGTTTTCTTACTTTTCGTTTGTTACCATGCGAACAGTATGTCATTGAATTCATATCCATCTTCTCTACACCGCAGTGGAATTTTTAAAATCCGAAGTGAATTTTTTATCTTCATAACCTCTCTGAGTATAAAACGTACCTGCCTTGTCTATCGTGTTCCCTGATACGGTGCAAGTTTCGTAGGAATTCTATTTCTTTGTAATATGGAAAAGATAGGAGATTTTCATGTGAAGGAATTTGTTGCCTAATTCCGTAAAAATTGTAAAAAATCATAAATCAATTCAAATGTAATTTATTTATTCTGTTAAATATTGAAGTGCAGTGGAACCATATAAAAGAACGCATGTTAGGTACTATCAGTGATTTGGATGGTAAAGTTGAGAAGATAGCAAGAAAACCATGCGTTACACAGGAGATGATTAGTAAAATGGAGGAGCGAAGGAAATGGAAGAATGTCAACAATGAAGAAGGCAGAAGGAAATGCAGGAGACTGAGGAATGAATTGAAAAGAGCCACGGACAGGGCCAAAGAGGAATATCTTGAGAAGATATGTAAGGAGATAATAGAATATCATAAAACAGGACTTCAGGATTTCATGTAATTGAAGACAAAAGTACTAGGATGGAAAGAGAATCATGGGATTCAAAATATTGGTATCGAAGACTCACACGGGAATAGAAAAGTAGATCATAGGCAAGTGCTGAAAATTTGGGAAAATTATATTACAGAACTATATGATCGACCTAATCGGCCAGAAACCTTAGAATTTGAACCGGAAGAAGAAGTAGATACAGACGAGAAAGGACCATATATTTTACAAAGTGAGGTGGAAGAAGTTATCAAGGAAATGAGGAAGAGAAAGGCTACAGGAGATGATGATGTACCTGGAGATGTGTTTAAGTTGCTGGGAGAAGGTGGTTTGAAAACAGTGACAATACTAATAAACACCGTATATGAAACTGGGGAGTGGCCCAAGGACTTTACAGAAGTGACAATGATTGGCTCAAAGAAAAAGACAAAAGCTACAAAATGCAGCTACCATCGCACAATAAGTCTTATTGCACACACAGCAAAGATAATAGCAGAGATACTTAAAAGAAGAATTGAACGGAAAATAGAGGATATACTTGGAGAAGAGCAGTTTGGATTTAGAAGAGGAAAGGGAATCAGGAATGCAATTTGGATGATGAGAATTATAGCCTAAAGAACTTTGGAGATAGATGAAGAACTGTGTGTTTGCTTCATAGACTGGCAGAAGGCATTTGTCCGTGTAAACTGGACCAAATTATGCAGATTCTAAAGGAAACAGGTATCCATTGACGTGAAAGAAGATTGATTAGCGTAATTGTACATGGATCAGAAATTTAGAGTACGAATGGAGAGAGGGGAGACAAGAAGTGTGCTGATTGGAAGAGGAGTTCGACAAGGATGCTGTTTATCACCAATTCTGTTCAATTTCTAGAGCGAATGCCTTACCAAAGTAGCTCTGGATGTGCTTGGAGACTTAAAATTAGGAGGGCAAATTATTCAAACTGTGAAATATGCAGATGACCTTGTGTTAATGGCTAAGGAAGAAACTGTGCTACAGGGCATGATTGATAGACTTATTGGAATTGGAAGGTACTATGGTATGGAAATGAATGTGGAGAAAAAAAAGTAATGAAATTTTCGAGACAACCAACCCTAGTCACAATAAAGATAGACCAAAAACAACTGGAGAATGTGAAATGTTTTAAATATTTGGGTACCTTGTTAACAGATGATGGACGGTGTACTAGTGAAATTAAATCCAGGATTTCCATGGCAAAAGCTGCATTTAGCAAGAAGAAGAATCTTTTTACCAGCAAATTGGACTTAAATTAGAGAAAGAAACTAGTGAAATGCTACATTTGGAGCATAGCTCTGTATGGGGCTGAAACATGGACACTTAGGGCAGTAGATCAGAAACATCTGGAAAGTTTCGAAATGTGGTGTTGGAGAAGGATGGAGAAGATCAGTTGGACCGATTATGTGAGAAATGAAGATGTGTTATTTAGAGTCAGTGAGCAGAGGAATATCCTACATGAAATAAGAAAACGGAAGGCTAGTTGGATTGGTCATGTTTTACGCAGAAACTGCCTTCTAAAAGAAGTTATTGAAGGAAAGATAGAGGGGCGGATAGAAG